CATTGGTATTATCTAGTTATCGGAGTCAGAATCAGAGCTAATTCACGGAGGATACTTTTCACACGAAGAACACACACAATTTTTTTTTTTTTTTTTTTTTTGACTGAATTGTAGAAATATATTTGGAAGCTTGCACAGCTTTGCGATGAGAAAATAAGTGTATAACCCGTAATATTTGCAGTTAAGGACTTTTCCCATTTTATTTGAAACTTCTACATATTGCTTGTAGCTAAATATCATACCTGCATATTAGGTACTTTAATTGTTTTCTATTAATTTCTCTTTTGTGACAAAAACTCTTCTTCAGAAGTTTGTGTGCCAGTCATAATCGATGATAACTGTGTTTTGTAGCGACCATGATGCAAGATCAAACACGTATCAAAGTGATTGAAGTTCGGGATGCCACAAAAAGGCCTTACATTTCAATACATTTGCTGGATCACACTTTCGTACATCTGGAAAACAATCGAATTAAACATAGCGTAAATAGTATTTTTATGTAGGTTAAAAAACAAAGAGTGTATTTGCGAATATTTTTGGAAACTAAATAAGCCACTTGATATTTCTTTTTCTTCAAATAAGTGATAACTTTGACTTTGAAATGGGATATTCTTCACGTGACATATCCTGGAATTGTTTGTTTAGCGAAATGGCAACACCTATGGTGGAGAGGCGGTGTAACCCCCTTCTTTCAACATAGCAAGTATCAATTATTTTAGCTGCATATTTCTTGAAACACGAAAAGCGCTTCATCTATTTATGGCAGCAAAAGCAAATTTAAACATTTGCACGAGACCTTTGTAAATACTTCTCGTAGCTGCACCACCTAGTACTGGTTTATCTATCTGTCAGTCATAGATTTTTTTCCTTTTCGTCAAAACGAAACACTTGTTCAATAATCAGAAACCATGCTAATTATATTCTTCATTATAGTATGTATATATGCTTCATCATTGTGTGCCTGTGTGTGTATGTGTGTGTATGTGTGTGTGTGTGTGTGTGTGTGTGTGTGTGTGTGTGTGTGTGTGTGTGTGTGTGTGTGTGTGTGTGTGTGTGTGTGTGTGTATGTGTGTGTGTGCGTGTGTGTGTGTGTGTGTGTGGTGTGTGTGTGCGTGAGTGTGTGTGTGTATGTGTGTGTGTGTGTGGCGTATATGGAAATGTGAAGTCAATATATAGTGACAAGCTATGAAACGATATGTAAAATTCGTTTCGGTTCTTCTGAATGTCCTTTATATTGTGCTAAAATCTTATCATAGTTTTCGCTGTAATTATTTCCAAAGTCTTGGCGTTTCTAGAAGGAGACGAATCCATATTCTAACAGCTGAGCGGAAAATGCACGTTTGCTTGTTTCAACTTAAGCAACTACTGCCTAGGTGATTCTGAGAAGGGTGAATAGCAAAGGAAGAGACTCTCAATACATCAATACATGTGCTGTAGGATATTTGATATTTTGAAGGAGAGAACATAAATTCGTTCTTAAAATGGTCAGTTAATCTCACTCGCTATTTTTATTTGTCATGTATGCAGCTTTATATTTTCCTTTTTTGTCAATACACGTCAGTTTACAGTATATGTGACTACAAAAAATAGCATACTTTATCACAAAACCAAAGTTCTCATATATAATCTTGATATGAAAGTAAACTACGGATTCAGAAAACATAAATTATAGCATTTTATAATTATTTGAGAATATTAACAAAATGCAAAACCTTAGCAGTGTTTATGTGAATGCACCCATATCTCATCAATGTTTGTTTATGTTGAGTGAAAGAACTGCAGTCATATTTCATACACATTTTGAACCCTTTCCTGCGCAAAATGACATAGTATGTAGTTGACAACTAATATATATATATATATATATATATATATATATATATATATATATATATATATATATATATATGTATGTATGTATGTATGTATGTATGTATGTATTTATATATCTGCTTTACTTTTATCTCCCTAAAGGATGGGGGCTTCAGTGAGTCGACTAATTGGGGATGTTTATTAATTTTGGAGATATTTTAACTATCGCTTAATTTTTAAAGAAAAATGGTAAGAACTGTAGAAAAGCAAGACAACACTGGGGCCAGTCATGCGTACAATAGGAAAATGCATTGTTATTCAAACGGTGTCTAATCTCCGAGGCAGAGGTGACGTGGTCATGCAACGTCTCGATCTCCCCCCTAACACTTCCCATTCCCTCTTAGAATGATCTATTAAATGTTGGGAGGTTGTTTCTCTTGCCGTTTCCTAAACATTTGACTATATTCACCCAAACATTTTTCATCGCCTTTGTCACATGCCTTGCTTGACCATCGAAGGGCCTCCAGGAGGTGCTAGTCATGGAACCACTTCGGGACTGCCATAGACATTTGTGTTGGGCAGTTATCCATCACAAATATTATTGTGTCTGGGAAGGGCTAAGGCATAACAGCGTACTGATGGGAGGAACATTTTTTCTAACAATTCGATACATTTGTCTAAAATACGTATGCAGGGAGATCCATCCCCACATATCACAGGTAGCCACTCCTCGCCGTTTCATAAATAATTCGTCTGTCGTATGTGAAAGTAAATGGCATAGAATCCGACCATAAATATGACGTATCGCGCATTATTATGTATAAACAAATATCTATATCGCAAAATGCAGCTTTCTGTTTATTTTTTTCTGTCCTTATTTCCCTTCCCCAGTAATCTAGATCTTTCTCTACATACTGCAGGGCGAGCTGGAGGCGATGTTAGCGATGTCGTTGTTCAACCTTTCTTCGATGACGTTCTGTGATGTATCCCATCTGCATGAAGTCGTTTTCTTCTCCGTGCGGCCTGTTGCCAGGAGCTGAAGGTCTTCATGAATTCTAGCTGCATTGGTGAGCGAGGGCAATCGTTAACGATGCCCTCGCCCTCCCATCTTACTCCCTGTATACCACCGTCTGGGAGATGCGCAGCTCTGAATATAATACTGTTAGAGAAGTTACTTTCCTTCACCCCATTGTAGCGATTTCATTTGCGATTTCAGCTTGCCATGTGTCCATCCCGAAAAGGTGTAAGCTTGGTAACCTCGGTTTGACGTCGGATTTCCCATGCCGAGATGTCTTAGACCATTGGACACTTCCTTTTTTTTATTTAGCACATGTTAGGATTAGCCGCGAAATAGATATTCAGGAATTAAATGCATTATTCCATCTTTCAATATTCATTGGCATAAAAAAAAAAATGCGATTTTGTGTTATTTATATCCAAGAAATTTCCTCTAAACTACTCAATTTCTGGATGAACAAACAAGCTTTTTGTACTCCCGGAAATTATTATTTCTAAAATTATATATATATATAAATGATTTTGATGTAAAGGTTTCATATGTTAATTTCATCTAAACTTACACTCTACGGTATTACATTGCACTGACAAAAAGAAAGAAAAATATGACTAATAACCGTTGAAAATGAGAATTTTCCCTTTTATTAGAGTGAACAAGACATACAGCAAGGTCTATATAAGTACTTATATAGACTTGGACATACAGCACATGTATTGGGAATTTGGGAGTCGGTTCTTGGTTCTTGAATTCACCCTCCTTGGAACCACCCAGCTAGTAGTTGCTTGAGTTGAAACTAGCAAACATGTATTTTCTCGTTCAGCTGTTTGAATATGGGTGCGTCTTCTTAAAGAAGACTTATAGCTTACATACTCTTTCGTAACTCATCACCAGTTATGACCGGATTCCCATAGATGGTGCACACACAGTGTTAACCCATCTATATATACACTGCAGCCTCACTGCGATTTTGTGCTTAGTTCATGTTCTCTGCTAAAGAATGTAATATAGCATTATTTCTGTGTATTCAAAAAGTGTTTGAGTTTGGAAAAAAACATCAATCACTTCATTAATTCCATTAGTCGCTACTAGCTGGTACAGTCAGGGATTTTACAGGAATTTTTTGCTGATTTACTTGCCATGCATAGATGTTGAAAGCATGAAACTTTTTCGCGTTTTAAGAAATATGCAGCAATAGTAGATACTCGCTATGTATAAAGTGCCGCATCTCACCATCGGTGTTGCCATTTCGAGAAACAAACCATTCCAGGATATCGCATTTGAAGAATACCCCACTACAAAGTCAGAGATAACTGATATTACATATTTTTTATCACTTATTTGAAGAAATCAAACGGCTTACTTAGTTTCCAGAAATATTCATTAACACACACTAGTTATTTATATTTAACCAATCACACTCTCTGACAAACATCGATGGATATTGGCATATAAGCCACATAAAAAGGGCACACGACAGGTGCCTAGTCACTTAAAAGGAACAAAAACCAAAGGTTCGTAAGTTGAACTAAGGTCGATCGACCAGAGGTCAGCGAACTGCATTCCGATTCGACCCGGAATCCGCAGCTCAGCCCGAACAGGACATCGGCGCGGCGGTCTGAGAGCCGCGGACTGAGGGCCCTTTGGGTTCTAGTGTTCTAGTCCTAGAACCACACACACACACACATACACACATACACACACACACACACACACACACACACACACACACACACACACACACACACACACACACACATATATATATATATATATATATATATATATATTATATATATATATATATATATATAATATGATATGATATATGGATGGATGGAAAAACATGATACCGTGTTGATACTTATGGTAATAAAAACAAAGCACAGTGCAAACAAAATTTATTGAAGTAAGTGAGACAACAGTTTCGGAATCGTCTTCGATTTCATTGTTCATAGTGGATTTTTCTACCATAAATATATATATATATATATATATATATATATATATATATATATATATATATATATATATATATATATATATATATATATATATATATTATATATATATATATATATATGTGTGTGTGTGTGTGCGTGTGTGTGTGTGTGTGTGTGTGTGCGCGCGCACAAGAAAGTAAACATAATTCAAGGTAAAAGAAGAAACGAAATCTGCTTGTCTAATATTCTATTTGGATTTAGCATTATAAGCAAATCATATTGTGGACTTTTTCTATAATAACCCAGTTTGTATCAATTAATTTCCAGGAAATCTATTCCATGTACAATTACTAAAAATCAATTGAGAGCTGCGGTAAAATACACCATCATAAACTAATCTTCCACAAGTTTTGAATTGTGTTTAAGCTTCAGCCTCCTCCAGCTCCTGCTGGGCCTTGCGGAACTTGGCCAGGTTGAGGGCGGCGATCTCCTCGGCCTCCTCGATCTGGCGCTTGTAGGTCTTGATCTTCTGCTGGAGCTTGTCCACCAGGTCCTGCATCCTCTCGTGGTTCTTCTTGTCCTCGTCGGACTGGAAGCTGAGCTCCTTGATGCGCCTCTCGCACTTCCTCAGGTTCTTCTGGGCGTCGGCGTGGCGGCGAGCCTCATCGTCCAGGGAAGACTCGAGCTCACGAGTTCGGGCCTCAAGGCTACTGATGGCCTTCTTTCCCGTCTTCATGGCGTTGATCTCAGCCTCCTCAAGGCGAGTCTGGAGCTCCTTCAGTGTCACTTCGAGACCCTTGCGCATCTTCTCCTGGTTTTGGGCATGCTCTTGCTCTGAGCGAAGTTCATCCGCCAGACGAGCGGCATCAAGCATGGCCTTCTTAGCCTTCTCCTCGGAGTTCTTGGCCTCGCTTAGCATCTCCTCGAGATCAGCCTGAAATAGAGAATATAGGTTTTTGAAGAAAAAAATATTCTACAATGTACAGAATATATGTTCACATGTTTATATATGTGTATGAGAAGATATAAATATATATAAATATGTAGAAACACAATGCAATGTGACAATGTTTAGTTAAACAGATACACAACAAATAAAATGTAGAACAAATGAAGAGAATGTTTTGTTCGCCAACTACCTGCATGGCTTGCATCTCGCCCTCAAGCTTCCTCTTTGAACCTGCAAGAGCACTGTTCGTACTGGTGAGATTGCTGACTGTTTCGCGAGCCTCAGCAAGCTCACCCTCGGCATGACGACGGCCACGGTCGGATTGCTCGAGGAGAGCACGCGACTCCTCCAGCTCAGCGTGGAGGGCGTTAGCGCGGCGTTCGGCGATGCCGTACTGCTCCCGGTATTCAGCAGCAAGCCGCTGTTCCTCCTTGACACGAGCCTCCATGTCCTTTATCTCTTCCTGGATCTTCTTGTAGTGCTTCTGGAGGTCGGAGTTGGCCTTGTTGGCGTGGTCGAGGGCAATCTCCAGCTCGTTGATGTCAGACTCCAGCTTCTTCTTTATGCGAAGAGCCTCTGCTTTTCCCTTGGCTTCAACTTCCAGAGAAGCTTGCATTGAGTCAATGGCACGCTGATGACACTTGCTGAAAAGGAATGAATCAGTAAACTATTTTTCATTACTGAAGAACGTTATAAACATATTTTCATATCCCAAGTCAAAGCTTCGAATGAAGACCTCTATTTTGTTGTATTACATACCGAGTGTTCTCAAACTCTTCCTCCTTCTCCTGAATACGCCTGTCAACCTCCTGCCTGACCTGGCTAAGCTCGAGCTGCACACGAAGCACCTTGTTCTCCTCCTGTTCCAGAGCAGCCTCAGCTTCCTCAAGAGCGGCTTGTAGTTCTTCCTTTTCAATCTCCTGACGCTTAGCATTCTTCTGAGCTTCGTGGTAGGCACGGCCGCCTTCACCCAGCTGATCCATCAAGTCTTTGATTTCATCGCTAAGGTTCTTGTTTTCGCGACGAATGCTGTCCAGCTGCTGAATGTTCTCCTCGTACGCAGCATTCAGACGGAAGTATTCGGTGGAGTAGTTGCGGCATTCCTTCTGAGAGGCATCGAGTTCGGCGCCTAAGTCTTCAACCTTCAACTTCCACTCGGAAAGGATTTTATCAAAGTTCCTTTGCTTCTTCTCGGCAGCGCTTGCCAATGCTTGCGCGCGTTCAGCTGCTGCCTGAAGGTCTTCTAGCTCAGCCGAAGCCCTTACCTTGGTTTTCTCAAGATGAAGATTGCGAACATTCAGAGAATCAATTTGCGCTTCAGCTTCCTCGAGACGGGCAGCAAGCTTCACGCGAGCAGCCTCGAGTTCTTCCGCGCGGGCGATGCCCTCGGACTCGTACTTGGAGCGCCACATGAGAGCTTCGGCATTAGCCTTGGACAACATGCGCTGCACGTCTCCCTTTGCCTCACACTCTTCGTCCAGTTGCTCGCGAAGGGCGTCAATGTCGTGTTCCAGACTGCGTAGCTTTCCGAGGAGAGTCGCGCGCCCCTGAGGGTGAAGAACGATGCTCAGTGTTAATAGACAAAATTTCATGAACAATTGTAATGATCGTATTAATTATAATATCAGTGATAATAATTTTTGTAGTGATAATAATTGCAATTATTATAATTATAAAAATGATAGTGATTGTAACACTAAAACAATTATTGTAAATATGTATAATTGTGTATTTAATAATATGAATAAGCTTTTCATTTTCTTATTATCATTGATTTTGTCCAACCTTTATTTCCTCATACATACGCCCACCACGACTCACCCTGCTCTCTTCATCAGCGAGCTTTCTCGTGTCGTCAAGCTGATTGGTAAGAGAAAGCTTGAGCCTGGACAGCTGACTGACTTGGTTTTCGGCCTCTTCCAGCTGGCGCAGAAGGTCGGCGTTCTCTACGGCGAGTTTCTTCTTGGTGGCGTCGTAGTCGTTGAGGGTTCGGTTGACTTCATCCAGCTTAGAGTTGATCTCGTCGAGCTGATGCTGTAGCTGCTTGGTGGTTTTCTCCGCGACCGTCTGGGAATCGCGTTGAGAAGGTAAGACTTCTTTCGAAACTAATTCTTACCACTCATAATCATACTTTTAGATAAAACCTCGGCTTTTGTACACAGCATAACTTTAGGATAAAACCTATCCACATACAGATTCGTCTGGGTGTCCTTGTACATATATGGATAGGATATGCAGAAGGATATCTAACATAATTACAAATACACATACAAATAATAAGGTACACACACACATTCATGTGTGTGTGTGTGTGTGTGTGTGTGTGTGTGTGTGTGTGTGTGTGTGTGTGTGTGTGTGTGTGTGTGTGTGTGTGTGTGTGTGTGTGTGTGTATGTGTGTGTGTGTGTGTGTGTGTGATATGTGAGCTTTGTCTCTCTTACCTTATCGCGGGCAAGAGCATCCATGGAAGCCCTTGAGTCGTCGGCATCTCGTTTCATCGCCTCTCTGTCCTTCTCAGCCCTGTGTCATGGAAGAAGCACTTACTGACAGGCACCTTATTTCGTAATTTACTATATGTAATGATATTAACAGCACAAATGACGATGATTATGATAATACTATTAGTGGTAGAGCTAGTAGTAATGGTAGTAGCACTGGTAGTAATAGTAGTACTAATAGTAGTAGCATTAGTATAAGGAGCAGCAGCAGTTGTAATAGTAGTAATAGTAGTAACAGTAACAGCAGCAGCACCAGCAGTTGTAATAGTAGTAGTAGTAGTTGTAGTGGTAGAAGTAGTAGTAGTAGCAGCAGTTGTTGTAATTGTAGTACTAGTAGCAGTTGTTCTTGTTGCAGTAGTTGTTGTTGGTACTTATACTAAGAAACCTAATAGTAATAAAGATATGATAAGGAAATAATATTAATGACAGCAATAATGATAATAGGAAGAAAAATCACAAGGAAAATTATGTAATTATGTAAAGGATAATTATAGTTATGATAATAATAATAATGATAATAACTGAAGTAGTAATGATAATAATTATGATACTAATAGTAATAATAATGATAAAAAATAGCAATAACAACAACAGCAACGACGATACTACTAATGCTAGTACTGCTACTAAAACATAAATGTACATCAATAACAATAAACATGAAACTGATAAAGATGAAATATATGACAAAATCATGATATTGATACCAAAAATGATGATTAGGTTGATAATGATAAAGATAACGATAACAAATCAATATCAACAAGAACAATAAGTAATAAAAATGACGATTAATATTATAGGTATTATTCCTATGTGCTTTCGATTCTTTAGTTTGATTTGCATCGTACCTGGCTTTCATTTTGTTGATGTAATCGATCTGCTCCGACAGCTCGGCAACGCTATCATTATGCTTTTTCCGAAGCACAACGAGAGCCGCTTCGTGCTGGAGGTTGGCTTCCTCGATGTCACGGCGTATCTTGCACAGCTCACTCTCGCGTTTCTTGTTGAGTTCGATCTGGCAGGCCGTCGCTCCTCCGGCTTCGTCCAGGCGCTCGCCCAGTTCTGCCAGCTCCCGAGTCAGAAGATTCTTAGCCTTCTCGGCCTTGGCTCGGGACTGCCGCTCGTGCTCGACTTCTTCTTCGAGTTCTTCTAGGCGTGCCTGCAGTTCCTTTACCTGCCTCTGGTCTCTGTGAACGAGCGCTTGTTCTTCCTCGATCTTGCCAGAGACAGCTGCGATCTCCTTCTCCTTGCGCTCGACTGCCATCTCTAACTCCTTGTGGTTCCGCTCCAGATCGGTGACCGCCTCCTGAGTCAGCTTCAGGTCACCCTCGACCTTCCTTTTAGCCTTTTCTACTTCGTTGCGAAGCTTCTTCTCGCGTTCAAGGGAATCCTCCAGTTCATCAAGCGTCGCCTCCAGTTTGCTCTTGATTTTGTTGAGGTGATTGCACTTGTCCTCAATGCCCTGAAGATCTTCAGCAGTCTTCAGATTGCATTCTTGAAGGTGCTTCTTTTCTTTGTTGACCTTCGAAATGAGTTCCTCTTGGTGTGCAATCTCCTCATTCAGATTCTGGATTTGCTGATCTTTGGTAATCTTGTCTTGCTCACCTTTTTGGATAGTAAGCTCGAAATCCTCAAGATCTTTCTTCAGACTATCGATTTCTTGTTCGCATTTCTTCTTTCCATTACCGAGTTGGTTCTTAGCCTCTTCCTCTTTAGCAAGGCGCTCCAACGTTTCCTAATGTCAAAAAAGAGTATCTTGTTCAAATAAGTTGATTTTTTTTCGATATCTAAAGAAATAACAAAATTGCAAGAAGAGGAGGAAGAAAATAAAGGTACCTTTTTTCATTATATGAAGTAGTGTCCAATCTTTTTGGGTTATCATGAAGCAACATGAAGAATCAACTATAGATAAGAATAGATGTTATTGTTATTTTCAAAACAAGATTAATGCACGAGGAAACTTACATTAAGCTGACCCTCAAGCTCAGCCTTCTGTGCTTGCAGCTTGGCTTGCTTGTCAAGGAAGTCAGTCATGCCACCCTTGCATGATTCCACAGCGCTAAGCAGGTCATTTCTTTCGTTCAGAAGCGCAGCATTCTGCTTCTCTAGTTGTTCACGAAGCTTAACCTCTTTTTCATACTCTGCTTCAGCTTTTTCGGCAGTCTGCTCTAATTTTTCCAGTTCGTCCTCGACGCGAGTTACATTAAGCTTCGGCTTCAGCTTGATCCACAGCTCGTACCAGAGCCAGCAGCGCATCTTCATGTATTTCCTTATGTTCCTTTGTACAGTCAGTAGAGCAACTCGTTGGGCTTGCATCTTGGCGTAGTTCTTGCGACTCTGGAATCCACGAATCCACGCCTGGAGCCACGTCATAAGCAGAGTCACCCGATCATCTCGGATCTCCTCAAGCGTACCCAAGGCACCGGCTCGGAAGAACACCTGCGAGAGAATACGGGATGAGAGACAGGAAAGAGAAGATAATCGTGCAAGAAAGGGAGGTTTATACGCTTAAAATAAAAAGAAAATAGTGTGATATTCCGGGTAATTAGAGTATAGTTATAATTAGAATATGTTTCTCGTTGTCATTCAGAGAGGATGAAGCGGGTTGTAGGGACTGTTACCGAACAAAATAAAACCTTGTGTTTGAAAGAACAGACAAGTGCCAGAAATCACTATCTCTGATTTACAAAGGGATAATTTCCGTCTCCGTTGCAAAATATTCCTTCTGAAAAGATTTCGGCTTTGTCTACTCAATCAAGATGTTATGTTAATTTTACATATTCAATATTATTCTCGGACAACCGAAAAAATGTGCATGTCGATGGGATATTCTGTCAGCAATTGTCCTGTTTTTGTCTTGAAAATCAAAACCGAAAATGACAAACTTAGTTAAGGGATTTCTTGAAAAGGCGAGCTGGTTAATATATAGTTGGAAATTAACAAAGGGTAGGAAGAACAAAGGGAGGATCAATGTGATAAATACACTACACAGATTTGTTACACATTGGAATCTTACATATCAATATGTTTCAAATACTCAGGCCGAAATGTGGGATTCATGATCACATGGCCAAATAAAAAGCAAAGAGGGTTGTCAGAGGTCATGTTCAGGGAGGGGTTGGATAGCTCAGTGTCTCGGTGCCAGAAAGGGCTTCCACAACCAGGAAAGTCACTTCAAGGAGGGTCGAGGGGTGGATCAGACTCTTGGGAGGGAAGTGGAGGGGGTGGGTCGGAACAAGCGATCGGTCATAATCCAAATACGAGCCAAAGATCATAATGATATCTTCCAAGACCTTGGTGTTGCCAGTGCGGTAAAGTTCAGCGTCGAGGCCGACCTTATCGAAGCACGCCTTAGCACAATTCTTATCGTCCTTAGCTTCGTTCATCTCCTTAGCAGCCAGGATATTGTAACTAAGAGGAGGAGGAGCATGAATGAAAAAAAAAGTTGGGAATACACCTTTCATCGCATGTTCCTCACAAGGTGCTGAATATGTAACAAACAAAATAAATCTATTTCGTTAATGAGAAAACAAAACAGCTGAATAACTCACAAAGGCAAAGAAAATGCTAAGCCAACAAAAACTGAAATATAGATTTTAACTTGTTACAATTGATTGCCTATGCAAAGAAATCAAAAAGTATGTCAAATCATAAGAGGGGACGAAGTAGTTAGTACATACACTTGGAATTTATATTGCAAACCATGATTGTTTAGAATCGTAAACCTTTTAATGTGTACGAAGATTACATGGCCTGCTTCCTGAATTATCTATCTATGTAATTTAGTTTTAGATGGTACGTATAATATTACCGAGTTCTGAAGTCCTTGTAAGGAATCCTGTTGGGGAATCCCTTGCGGCAAATACGGATGCCCTCGAGCACGCCGTTGCAAGTTAACTGGTGCATGATGAGGCCGGCGTCAACAACACCTAAGCAGAACGGAAATATGTAGAGCACAATGATATAAAGTGTTTTTTTTTTTTACAATATTTTTTACTTATTTCAAGTTGAAGAAAGAAAATTGCGAATGACTGGTTAGACTTCATCTTAACAGAAGGGCCTGCATTCGTCTGTCGCCTCTCAATGTCCTCCACTTACCAGGTTTCTTAAATTCGTTAGGCACAATGCAGCGGATGAAGTGCGGGTGCGTGGCATTGAGGGTCCTCATCAAATTGCCCAGCTGATCCTATGAGGAACAGAGTGGTTCGTGTGCATGTTTTTAAAGGTTCATAATATGCTTGATTTTTCGATATGCTTATTTATAGATGTCAAAATAACTGTCATGTATTATTGATTATTGGTTTTTAGTCCTAATACATACCTTATATCCAGATGATACGGTTTTAAAGCCGGTTTGCTGCTTGCCACCCTTGCCTAATGAAAATTTACATTAAAAAAAGAATAACAATGTTATCATACTCATGAAAATGCAATGAAAGTATCTATAATGTAAGATATTTCATGAAAATATTGTTTGCCAAATGAAAAGGGTAACCTAGTTTCCAAGAAGAGATTAG